TGCCTTATCATTGATCAACCTAACATTCATTCAGTGGTAAGAGTAGCAAGGATCCTTGGACAGCCGCCTTATTGAGGGCTAGCCAGTGATAAGAGTAGCAGGGAAATCCTACCTTATCACTGACTAGTCTGATATAAGAGTTGCAAGGTTTCAAGGACACCTGCCTGATCAATAACCATCCTAGCACTTAGTTAGTGATAAGAGTATCAATGATCCTTGGAAACCCGCCTTATTGAGGGCTAGCCAGTTATAAGAGTAGCAGAGAAATCCTGTCTTATCAGTGACCAGTATGATATAAGACTAGCGAGGTTTCAAGGACACCTGTCTTATCAGTGGCTAGCTATAGGATAAGCCTACCGCTAAATGTGCTGGCACACAGGGGCCAAGACCCACAAGGTTGCCTTTGTCAAACAAGTTTCAGTAACAAGTGAATATATCCTGAATAGTCTGTCATACCACCGCTAACTTTCTCTGCAATCTGCATTGTTCAGTCCTAACTAACTAGCTTTGATTCTACTGAGAAAGGATAAGTGAGATCTTGCCTCACAGAGAGACTATCCATTTGTCTGATTCCTTCCGTGAGATTTTTTTCCCACAGTTTGGATTGGTGATGTGTTCATGTGTGTTGGGAGAAGGAAAGGAACTCAGACATGATAATTCAGAAAAGGATAGGAATGAGATAGTGAAGAGAATATGGAGAGTTACTGCGACAGTAAAAAAGAAAGTGAATTATTATTCACTACCTGAAGCGAAAGGGCAACAGCCCAAACGATTAGTTAAGGATAAAAGTCAGACAAAAGACACAGAGTCTAGAAGGAACTTTATAGATCTCAGTTAGAAAGAGGGATGTTAAGTTTCTCTTGGACTGTGTTGTGTCTACAAGTTTCGACACTTTGGAGAACTTACGGGGGAATCTGTAAGAACAACAATTCTGTTATTATTTGATAATAGGTCGGTATAACTCCGACTCAACTTCCACATGGCTTGATACCCACACCTAAGACAAGACCTAAGAAAGGAACAGATAAATCTTCATCCTGTATCTACACCTAAATTTGTCCACGTCACACTCAGAGGTCTTTGAAAATGTGAAGGGCTGGGGTAAAAGGAGTCAGATTTAGGAAAAAATGTTGTTTTCAAGGTTTTGGGGCGTGAGTGGCTTGCTATGAATGGATTAAAGGTTGACACTTATAGCGCATTTCGTGTCTGCATCTGTTTGCGTGTACGTGATGTCTTGCATCTGCACAGGTGTTGAACGTTTGTGGTGTCTTCTGAATTTTAGGATCGTCTGAGATATTCGGGCAAAGGGACACGACAATCGTGAAAGTGAGGTCCACCGCTCAGTCAACTCCCCTGATTTACATACGTACATTCATATATATATATATACTTGTGAATGAGATCGTAGTTGGTCAGGATCGGAAAGTCATTTGTCTAGGCTTCTGTTTGAGAGAATAGGAGACTACAAAAGGGATCGACCCTAACATTCTCGCATGATGAGCAAAGTAAATGTTGAGTTATTGTCATAGTTAACTTAGCGTGGAAGACTGTCCAAGAAGTCGACCTGATTAGATAGTCGGTCCGGGGGAAGTTAGCACCTCGGGGCACGATATACGGGTCAGTCTTAAGGCGTTTTACCGCGCGTATGCCTGTGCTACGGCGATCGAGAAAACGTCCTCGGCTGACCTACCTCTGCGATTGCATGTAAAAGCCTTCGCACGTGGGTCAGTAACTCAGCAGGGATACGCCCACCTAAGGGATGGTGACAGCTCCCGCAGGTGGAGGTAATGTTGTACCTCTCGGGATCCCTAACCTGTCGTAGGGAGTCGCGAGAGGTATAGCACGCGCGCACGGTCGGAGATGGTATTTCGTAAAGTGGCCAAGAGACTCCTGCGTGACACGACCGTGAGGTCCAACAGAAAATTCACTTTGCGTCTGGGTGTGGGACCGCTGCGCGCGACAACGGGTTATGGTGAAGCGGGTGAGAAGGTGGGAACTGACTTGATGAGACAGGGGTGGATTAACTACAGAGACTGACCAGAAGGGGGCGCTGACTTGACTGACGGGACGACGATGATGGCTGAACGACCTTGACTTGCTGACAAAACCCGAAGGACTTCGACCCAATTTGACTGGCGCAGTGGCGATGGTAGCCGAACGACCTCGACTTGACAACGAAAGAAAAGTCGAAGGACTGCGACCCGAGAGTCCTCTGACCAAATCAAGGCGAGGAAAAAATGACTCGACCTCTGAAAGACCTGACCCTTGTATGGCATGCGCGCAAGTTCGTGTTTGCAATGAATGCTGCGGGCAGTCGGGGCCTGGAAGGCGCGACTCGAGAAAGCACGCAAGCTATCGTGGCGGGGCAGACGCTTGTGACTTATACAGTCATAGGTCAAAGCAGTGGGAGCGGACGGGCCAGCGAGTCCGTACTCCAGCCAGGGTGAGTGTCACGTCAAACCTCCGATGGACCGTAGATGCTGAATTATAATTTGTCCGCCGTTGATTTAGAAAACTGTAATGTCCGGTTGTCTTGTCGTCCTTAGATGTAGTAGATGTGCGGTTTGGACATGAGGTCCAGAATGGTGATGTCCCAGTACCGGTTCCCAACCGTAAGTGGTTGTTGGTTGTTGGTGTGGGTCGAGGATTGTGTGCTTGCTGAATCTGTCCCGTCAACCTGTGCAAAACGAGTGCGGACATTATGCCAGGGAGTAGAGCGTAGCGCAAGCGGTGCCCCGTAGGCCCCCCTGTCGGCTTGTAAGCTCCAGAGAGTGTTTTCCAACCAAAGTCCACATATTTTGCGGATTTGGGGTCGCAGTGTGAGTATGCCCCGGGGCAAGGTCCCACTTGCGCAAATTAGGAGATTTCGGCCGTTGATCTTTGCTATCTACAGTCAGTTATCTCTTAATTCGTGCAAGTGGGACCTAGCCCCGGCTAGCGGTCGCGCCTCCAACCTTCAGGGCCTCGCCACACCACTGTCGAAATAGAAAAAAGTACTATGCACCTTCCTCAGGGAGTGCCAAGATGCATCCGTTGTTGCTATTCATAGTAACGGAAGCATCTCGTGACACGCCGCGGGAACATGCACTTGTACTTTTTCCGGTTCGACACTGGTGCGCACACATCCATTTCCAGTGTGGTGTAGTGGTGTCTAACGAGGCGCTTTTTCTGACTAGAAAACTACACGAGTCGCTTTTTCTGAGTAGAAAACTACAACACCCCGGAAATGACGGAGAGCAGCTGTGGGGAACCTCTCGTTTCTTTTGGCGCGCGGGGGACTGTAACTAGAATAACAGTGGGGTCTGGCTGTCGGATGCAGAAGGGATCAGCGCGGCTGTGCAGCTGTGACCTGTATTCGACCCCGTTCCGGCCCCACGGGCGGGCGAAATCGAGGATGGGGCGAAATGAGGCTCTTGTTTTTGGCGGGAGCTTTCTCTTGTCTTTTTGGGGCAGCTAGAATGTCAGAGGCCGTCGGATCTGTCAGATCGCGTCGCTAAAGGTGTCCCAGGAGCGACACGTATTGCCTTGATCGCATCGCTACTGCCGGACCAGGCCCGGCGGGCTGTCGTTTCCAGGCCGTCGACTCCAGGCCGTCGACTCCAGGCCGTCGACCTTGCCACGTGTGCATCAAGGCTCTTTCACTCTGGCGCCTCCGCGCCCCGTCGAGATAGTAGTCGTGGGATGGACATTCTCTTGCCCATTACGCGCGATACAGCGCAGGAGAAAGTAAGAATTTCTCAGGGAAACAAAATTTTCCCTCCTCAGCTTCTCAGGGAAACAAAATTTTCCCTCTCTCACGAAGCTGAGGAAGGGAGGGGAGGAGTCCTTCCTCAGTTTTTCGTTGCCGCACCGTTCGTGACGGGGGTTGCTTTCCCTGCCTGAGTGCGCGCGTCCAACTTGGCTTCCGCGCCTGTAGGGTAGCGAGTGCGAGCTTGCCAGCTATGGCGGTCACTCGCCGCCGGCCTTCGTCTTTCCGGCAAGCGATATTTCGATTCGTGGTCCCCCTTGTTCTCCTTGGCTGTTTTATTTACCCCTGGCTGCATTACCCCTGGACGTGTCCTCCTCCACCTTCTGATGGTAATACCGCTCTCTCGCAAGTGATTAACACGACCTCGATCGAGAGACCTGCCGAAGTCGTTGGCGGCGGCTTAACGCAGGCGGACTTTCTTTACCTCCGTTACCCGCAGCTGAAAAAGCAGGACGATGGCGCCGCCAGGCTGGCGACCTTCTCGAAAGAGCTGGAGTACTCTCAACTGCGTAGCAAGAACGATTTCGTGGTTCACATGTGGCGGCAGAAGACGCCGGACTTGACCCAGCCGAAGGTGTTGCTGGCCTCTGCCAGCGCTCCGACTTGCGAGATGCTGCATGGTCCGGTTATGGCGCAGCAAGCTCTCATCAACAAGCTCGCATATGCCGAGCTACACACGAACGTGGACGTGTTGTACACGCTCGAGAATCCGGCCAAGGACGCGTACCAGTGGAACCGGCCTTTGCTCTGGCTTCGCCTTTTGAAGAAATGGCGGTCGAGTTACGACTGGGTGTTTTGGGTTGATGCGGACGCCATCATCCTGGACCTCGGTTTCACTATCCCCTTCGCTAGCTACAAACCGTACGATATCGTCATGTGGGGAAACACCGAGAGAGCGTACAGTGTGGGGGATTTCAAGTCGATCGCTCTCGGATTGACCATGTTCAAAACGAGCCAGTTTTCCATCTCCTTCGTGGACGCGATCCTGGACATGCGCGATAAAGGCCGGAGGTTGAAGGCCGGCGATTTGTATGAACAAATCCAAACTGCTATTACCGAGCCGCCGCAGTTTCTGAACGACCAGGCTGCTGCAGCTTATCTCTTCCGCACCGTCGGCGCAGAGAGGTGGAGAGAGAGAGTTCACTTCGAGACCAGCTACTACTTGAATGGCTACTGGAAGGACGTAGGTCAACGGCTGGACAAAATTGCGTTCGAGCGGGAGATACGGAGCAAGGACCCTCCGTTCAGCTGCCATTTTGTGGGCTGTAGTCTGTGTACGGGAAGAGCAATGTCGGATTACAAGCAGTGCGTTGATTATTTCGAGAAGTCTTTTCAGTTTGCTATGAATGAAACGGCGAGGAAAGAGATGGCGGCCGCTTTCCGCGAAGGTGGCGACGCCATGTGAGTGTACGACCGTGAGGTTCGCCTTCTTTGTCGTAGCGACGGTTTCGGCGTTTTAGGTTACAGTCTTGGAGGGGTTTTGAGAGGGTGTTGGTGTTGTTGCGTGCGCTTTTGCACCCGTCATAATTGCTCTTCTTTTCCACTTCGCTGTTGCTGTACCCTCTTCTTCTCCCCCTTCTTCTCTCTCCTCTTTTCACGGTCTTTGATCTGTGATCGTGATGTGGGCATTGCAGATGGAGAGGATGCTGCACGGGAGGGCGCACTTTGATTACGTGGGTACTTGTACAGCGGGTGGAGTTTGCGGGAGCGACGGACGATGGAGGGGATGGATGGGGTTTGCGGGAGCGATTTACGATGGAGGGGATCTGGACGTAGAGAGGGAAACGGAGAGGGTCAGGGAGAATCAGGAGAAAGGCGGCGCCACGGAGTTGTTCTCCTGCAGTTGAGGACGTGTTGATGCGGCCACGATATTGGGTTGTCTCGAGGAGAGAAGTACATTCGACTGCAAAGCTTGTCCAGTCGAGGAGACGGCTGAGCTAAGCTTGGATCAATGAGCGATCGTCGTCTTTGCTGTTGTGCGCATTGCGGTTTGTAGCGAGAGCGTACACGGTTGTGCTTGCTGACTTCTGTCTGCTACATGCCTCTAGTTGAGAGGGAAGCAGCATATTAGAGGCCGTAGGAAGAGAAAATCGTTGACTTGTTTTATTAAGCTTTTTCCACTCACAGACAGAGAGAGCGCGCAAGCGAGCGAGAGCGCGCGCAAGCCAGCGAGAAAGCGAGCGAGCGAGCGAGCGAGCGAGCGAGAGAGAGAGAGAGAGAGAGAGAGAGAGAGAGAGAGAGAGAGAGAGAGAGAGAGAGAGAGAGAGTTTGAACATGAGGTTTGGTTTTGAGAGCGGCGCTAGTTGGCGGTACTCTTATGTAATAAGTGGCGAGAATCGCGTGGGCTTTGGGGGCCTGTCTGGGTAAAGATTCTGAGAAAGGTGCGACTGTTGCACTTTTTTCGCGGTATTGTTTGGTTTGGCCGTTGGACAATTCCAACGCTCACAATTTTGCCCGAGTTCGAAAATGCTATTTCGTCGTAGCTTTTTCTGTGCAGCAGCTTTGCGGATGGATCAGGTGGAGTATGGGAGGAAGAAGGGGAATTCTGATTTGTTAAGCGTTGAGTGCATGTTGTGGTTTAGATAAGCTCTCATCGGAATGAGAAATGGCTCGGGCAACCAACCATATCGCCAGACTTTTGCACCTGTACAATTTTAGTGAAATTGAGGCAAGTCTAAAAATGCCTTTTGGTCGTGAAGTCCGAACACTAAAGCAAGATCTCTTGTTGCGTCCTCACAGCCAGAAATCGGTCTACCTTTCTTTGTTATCTCACAGCTTTCTTCGATCTGTTGAGATTGTTCTCCTAGGTCATTCTGTACTTGGCTGCATAGCTGCCTACCTTTATTTTTTTTGATGTCTCTTGTCTCGGAGATGTATACGTGTTTCGGATTTTATCATTGCTGTTGATGTGGTCGCTTTATCTTCCACTCCTGTTTCAGTCTGGAATGGGTTCATTGCATTGTTTTGTCTTGTTTAGACGCGAAAGCTTTATGTAGTCCGCGTGTATTATTCTTACAAGAGTGATCTTCTTCTTTGCTAATTGCTGAAGTCGAAACGGAGGGATTGTTGCCGAAACCCGGGGGCTAGCTATGAGACAAGAGCAGATGCAGCTGGGTTACGAGGGTGAGGAGGGGCGCACGCATGCACTTTGGCACATTCGCTCGAGGGAGAGAGAGAGAGAGAGAGAGAGAGAGAGAGAGAGAGAGAGAGAGAGAGAGAGAGAGAGAGAGAGAGAGAGAGAGAGAAACCTGTGGGGTCGAGCTGCCGGAGAGGTGCTGGGTATTGGATGAATGTGTGTGTGTGTGTGTGTGAGAGAGAGAGAGAGAGAGAGAGAGAGAGAGAGAGAGAGAGAGAGAGAGAGAGAGGAATTGAACGCAACCCGTATCGGGTTGAGCTGGTGAGAGGTTACGGTTTATTGGTTGTCTTGATTTCGATCAGAGGAGATGATCCACAAAAGTAGGGTTCATGGTCCTGCAGCCCTGGTTCTCCGGCGGCATCATCTTTTCCTGTCGAGGTACAGCGTGCTCTGCATTTTCTGAGCACACTTCAGAGCTCTTTGCGCTGTGTGGTGCGCAATTGTTTTGGGTTTTCTCGGCACGTTACAAAATAAAGGATCTCTCTCTCTCTCTTTTTCTCACTGTACTTTCTCGTTTTAACCATCTGAATTCTAGCCTCCTGTTGTGTTATGTTTCGTCTGATTTCTCTATTCATAGCGTTTTTACAGATTCAGATAATAAATTACCATCGTTTTATGAAGTTTCTGCAACTTGGTCGAATCTTGCAAGTCATCTCAAATTATGGTGTTGGATGTGACCAAAAAAAAGCGGTCGGAGAAAAGCAGCAAGGGGAGAAAATCTTCTTCCTTTCGCTTTTTTTTTTCGGGGGGGGAGGTGTAGGGGAAGGAAATCTAGGTATTTGATTGCATCATTTGGAGAAAAAAAACGCAATTTTCATGAGAGGGCGGAAGGGATGGGATTCGCGGAAACCCCGCGAGAGTGTCTGTGGTGCGATGGAAACGATATCTCGGTTGCGAAGTTCTGTTCAATTGGGTATTCGGCGGCTATAAGGAAGCAACATCTGGGTTTGCTTTTTTCTACCTCGTTACGTTGAACGTAATGGTGTCTCTCGTTGATGGCGGAGGTGAGGAGGGGAGTGGGAACACATCGATGCCAATGTATGTTAGTATAGGCTAGGTAATATGATATTCTTTTTTCATGACGTAATGTTTTATTCTGACTTGCCGGTGGAATAAGAACCGGACTGATGCTCCCAAGAATGGAAATGGAACCGGGGCCAGAAGAAGATACAAAGCAAGGATTGGTCGGTGAAAGAGGGAAGGGGAAAATGATTGAGATCGGGGGAGAACGGTAAGAACGAGGAAGTATGTATGTAGTCAAGCCGACAGTTCGAATCGTGGTTGCGCACGCACCATAAGGTACTGGTCCATGGCGAAGATATATATATAGCCTCCTGATGAGTCGGTGAAACTCCGACGAAACAGTTTGTCACAGCCCCTCGTTTGTTGTCCTCTTCTCTCTCTCTGCCTACGGTTTACCGGGCAGTTCTGTTTGTGACGATATATATAGGGCCTCCTGATGAGTCGGTGAAACTCTGACGAAACAGTTTGTCACAGCCCCTCGTTTGTTGTCCTCTTCTCCCTCTCTGCCTACGGTTTACCGGGCAGTTCTATTTGACGATATATAGGGCAGCCGCCGCTCAACCTACATCCACGTTGGCGGCCTTGTACGCAAGAGGTTCTGAACAGGGGGAGTTGTGAGGAAGAAGAGAAAAAACGAATTCATTCTTTTCCTTTTTTTCGCTTTTGCGCTCTCATATTTATGTGATGATATATGATGATATATATATATATATATTGGCTGTGACAGACCTTTCTTTGTTTCGTGGATGTTTTGCTGGCTTGTGATGGGGTGTGAACCGACAGTCTGTAGAGTTTTCCATCTGGTGTGGGTGAGTGAGTCTACTTTGAT